CTTGCAGGGCGTGCCCGCTCTGTGATACCTCTCCGACGCAGGACTCAGCGACTCAGCAGCAGGACGACTCCAGCGGCATCGAGTACAGCATTGACGGTACCGGTTACGACCGGAGTTCTTCCCGCATGCCCGGTCCAAAGGGCCGGTGAGCCGTTGGCAGATTACCTTCAGCGGGTACAGGCATTCACTGATGCCGTAGCAACCGCAAACGCACAGGAGGAAGCAGAGGCGGAACGTCAACGGCTGGCCAAAGAGGCGGCAGCCCAAGCTCAGCAGACTGCTGAGGATGACGCAGCAGCACGGGACCAACGGAATGCCGCCAGCACGGAATCCCTGATTCATAATGAGAATCGGTGGACAACGATCCTCGAGGGCATGATCTTTGTGCCTTCCGAAGAGCAGGCAGATCCGACACCGGCGGAGGTAGAGAGGACTCACCTGGCTAATGTGATGTTGACAATGATGCGAGCGATCATGTGGAACAATACGATGTTAGCAGTACAAATACACGAAGGCAGACAGTTGCAACAGATTCAGCAGAAGGATTTTGCAGCCTTGTCAGCAGCTGTTCGCACTACCGCCACACATCAGCAACAACAGCAACAGCTGTGGAACACCACCACCGCACGCGTCAGCAGCATCGAGGCTAAGGCCGCAGCAGCGCCAGGCTGCTTGACAGACGAGACGAAGCAACTCAACGGGCGCATCGATCACGTCGTCAAGCTCATCGGTGAAATAGGTGTTTTCAATGGGCCGGACAGGATCAGTAGCACGGTAGCCGCCATCAAGATGGACATCACCAAGCTACAGACGAGACCGGATGCCACGACGAAGAGTTACAAGATGCCACACTTCGACATCAGCAAGTTCGACGACCACAACAAGACGGACGCCTTGGCATGGTGGCAACGTTTCCTTACGGAAGCATCCTGCCGCACTGTCCCAGACGACTACATGATGAAGGCGCTATACTTACAACTGATTGGAGGAGCACAGGCATGGATGAACCACCTGGCGGCTACCCACACATGCACCATCGCCGAACTTCACACGCACATCACGTGGAAGGAGTTCGAGCAGCTATGGTTCACCCGGTTCATGGTCCACAACATCGTGAAGGCGGCCATGAACGAGGTGTACACCTGCTCTCAAGGAAGTATGCCAACTCGAGACTGGACAACCAAGTGGCAGAAGATAGTGACCACGCCAGGCTTCAATTTGACTTTTCCAAATCAACGATCCGAGTTCTTCTCGCGATCGTGCGCAGGATTGCGGTCGGCACTCGGTAACGAGTACGACTATACCTCGTTCCAGGCTATCTTGGATCGCGCAAACCTGGTCATCCAAACGGACGACAAGGCCGCTAATGAGAAATAATCCCAGCCGCATTATGTGGCTAAGCAGGGCTATCAACGTCCGGCACATAACAATGCCGTAATTTCAAAAGGAACAGACGATCTCCATGCTGCAGCAGCATCCTCGAGTGGAGGAATTGTAGCAGCGCTCCCGCCGAAGCGTCCCAAGAGAGTTCGGAAGAACAAGGTGACACAAGAGACGGCATCGACGGGAACTAGGCAGCAGCCATGGACGGCTTACAAGATAACAAAGGATGTCTATGACCTTCGTCAAAAGTACGGATACTGCCTTTGGTGCAATGGCGTCACTCATTTGACCGCACAATGCCCCGAAAAGGGCAAGGCACGCGTACCCCGTCCAGCAAACTCGGGAAACTGAGTTACGCAAGGAGAGGGGCGACGTCTCTCCTAACTCCGTCGGAACCGGTTGCCTTGCTAGCAATTGATGTCACTACCGGGGAGCATGCGTTAGTCGCTGATTCTCGTGCTACGTACGAGGATTATGCCGCTCAGCTGGTACTAGACCAGCCAAGCCACGTGCACTTAGCTAGCGTATGCGCAACCTGTACACCGTCGGCAAGTGATCCGGTCAGTTCGCCACTGATTTCCGAGGACTCGACGACGTGGTCAAGACTTGAGGAGCTTGACTCGCTCATGAGAGAGGACTTCGCTTGGATGCCTCTACCCTCGACCGAAACCTTGCCAAGGCCACATTGCAACGCCTTGATGGCAGATTTACGCTCCTATTTGCACACTACAGTACCAGCTCCGTTGACGGACGACGGGGTAGCGGTTGTCGATCTCCGCTCCTATCTTGCGAAGATTGACCGCGAGTACGCCACCCAAAGGTACGCCGAAACCGACGCGCCTTTGCTCTATATCCGCATTCAGATCGGAAAGGCAACCTGTAGTGCCTTGATTGATTGCGGAGTGTCTCGCAACTTCATGAGCCAAGCCTTTATGGCCCGCGCAGGTCTTGGCCTACGCGTTCGAAGGAAGACGCAACCTACGCAAGTTACACTCGCGGACGACCGCACGCAAAAGTCAATTGACCGATGCGTTGACGGCGTTCCAGTCTACTTTGCGCCACTTGCGTGCGAGCCGGTGTCTTTTGACATCCTCGACACCAAGTTCGACATGATTCTAGGCATGTCTTGGTTGCGTAGCGCCGACCATCCGGTGAACTTCCACGACCGGACCGTTCACATCTGTGATCGGAACGGAGTGTTAGTCCCATGTACGGTCGCGACCCCTCACACTTTGATTGCTTGTCACGTGGTTTCCGTTGCGAGAATTCGTGACGCCATAGCTCAGAATGACGTCGAGGAAATGGGCCTTATATTCTTGCATGCTCTCCCCTTGCCGGACGGACCAGCCGCGTCACCACCGGACCCACGCATTTCTCACCTCTTGGACGAGTATAGTGACGTCTTCGAGGCTCCCACCGAAACGGTTCCGGATTGTCCCATACATCACGGGATCACTCTCGAGGCGGGCGCCGTACCTCCGCGTGGATGTATCTACCGCATGAGCGAAGAGGAACTCGAGGTGCTTCGCGCACAACTCGATGACCTTCTCGACAAGGGTTGGATTCGCCCTAGTTGCTCGCCATACGGTGCCCCTGTTCTCTTCGTCCGGAAGAAGAACAAAGATTTACGGTTATGCATCGATTATCGTAAACTTAACGCACAAACCGTAAAGAACGCCGGCCCTCTCCCTCGGATTGATGATCTCCTTGAGCGGTTAGGCGGCGCGACGTACTTCTC